TGATGTTAACGCAAATATGCAACGATCGACATGTGTTCGAGTGCCTGCTGCTTTGACTAGACCTTCATTCACAAGGAGTAGCGAATAGAAAGTCAACAAACGTTAAATTAAGCAACATATCAGATACATTGTATGAGTTAACTAGGGAAATAGTCACATATTCTCAAAAATAATATAACAGTTGTTTTTTAAGTAGTCAATGACATGTCGTGACCAAGTGTTGAGGATGACTGTCGAAAATTATTCATACAATTTTTCATGACCAAGTGTCGAGGATAATAGAAACAATCCGTCGGAACGCCAAATGAAATGTCAGGCTGTCATGCAATATGTTGTTTATGAATCCGTATTTTACTTATGAATCTGCGAATGATGTGAGAATGATAATGATGATGTGAGTTGAAGATAGTAATGTAAGTTGATAATGTGCTGAGGAACACCGTAAGTTGAAAATACATTTACACAAGATATGTGCGCTCTAATGAAATCAATAGGTTATAAACATGATAAAAAAGAATAAAGATAACGAAAACGAAAACGTTAAATTGTTGATTTTTTTCAAAGTACAAAAAATACTCCAATAGTTCAATCCAATTTTGTAATTCCTTATTTTCTCCATAGTAATACGATATAACATTAGTGGCGTTTGTCATTTACGCGTCGATTGAGTCCATTATTTACAACTTACAAATAATGTGTTTTGTGGGAATTAAAATTAGATTTTTTATTGGATTGTAATAGCAGCTTTTGAATGGTGTGGTTGAATTATTTTTAACAATAGTAGAGTTTGATAATGATGACATAAGGAGCAATAATGACTGCAAACGATAATGACAAAAAAACTACAATATAACTTGATAATGTACATTGTAGTAGGGGGAACATTGGACATACAATGTCAGCAACGACATTGAGCGACTATTTAAGAAACTTGTATTACATTGGGGGTTGAACAAACTTTTCCCTATGCGACATGATAAATCTCAAGTGATGACTCATACTTGAAATGTTAAGATTGCAAATGTGAGAATTTTGCACATTCCATATGTCGACATTTAATATCATTAAATTGGAGTTTTCGAATATTTGGATCCATATAATAGTAAAAAGGAAAATAAAGGGTTTCAACTGTTTTCAAGTGTTGAAGTCAACAGTTAAATTGTTTATCTTGATAGTGAGTAAATGTCGACTTCGACGGTTCAAGTGTCTAACCCGACAATTTCGACGATACTACTCGACAGTTGAACTGCCAAAAATTTCTAAGAAGCTTGAAAACCATGTTTTTTGGAAGTTATTGAAAATATTAATGGTGATAATCAACTCTCAACTACAACATCACAATATCTTTCCACAACTAAATAATGAATGACTCAATACTATATTAAATATGAAATCTTTCAAAATTTTTAATAGGATGTTAGTATTTTTTCCCTTTGAAAAATATATCAAAAATAAAACATATTAATGAATAAGAGATTCAAAAAGTTCAATTAAATATAACCACGTTGAGGGCTGTAAGCAAAAATTGAAAAATCGAACCGAAACCGCATTTTAGAAACCATCGGTTTGGCGCCACTTGGACCCGATCAACGAAATGGTTTTTGAGTCAAATCAAACCGGTCAAAATGGTTTGGTTTAGGTTTGAAAATTTTAATTGCGTTTAAAATCAAATCAGACCTACAAAAAAAAATATAAAAATAAAAAATTGAAAAAATGAATTTTTTTTAAAAATTCATTCAAATATGTAAAATTCAATAATTTTGTCATTTGTGGGTATTTTTGTCAATTTCTAATTTTCTAATATAGATATATTATTATCCAATAATCCTAATTTATATATAATAATCTCAAGACTAACATAATCTATAAAAAAAACCCTTTTCCTCTTCAGAATTTAGATGAACTTCAGTCGACACTCAACACAGTCTTGATCCACTAGCACCACACACTTCTTTTTTTCAAAATTTTCACACCTCTTCAAAGTTGAATTGAAGTCCATTATACCAAATTTGAGATAAAGAGATCCTAGACCTTCAGTGATAATATTTGCTTCGAATAAAGTTTCAGATCAGTAATTTTTTTGGAGCACAATAAGGTAAGAATTTGAAATTAAATGTGTTTCGTAATATCATATAAACGTAAATTTGTGTAATTGTTATGTTTAGATATTATAAACAATAGCTAAATTATTGTGGTTGATTATTATTTTTATCTATTCAGTTACCTTTTTTTCAAATATGATGATCACGAGGTCTTATTGGATTTCATTATATTTTTTGGACCTTATATCTAGTTTAGTAGACTTGTATTGTAACGTTATTGTATCGTCATTAGCCTAAAAAATGTGAACAAAAATGAAAAAAACTATGGTTTAGCTTATTGCGATTTTACCTTGATTTAATTGGTATTTAAATTTATAGTAGATATATTTAGCCCATGTTTGAGCCACATTTTTCATATCATGATAATGAAAAATTTGACTGTTGGAAAGGAGGTTGAGTCCCACACATGAAATAGCAGGTCAACAAAGGCGGCTGAACTTGGGAGATAACAGTCCAAATTTTCATTTTTTTGTCCCAAAAATTTGGTTCAAACAACGGCTTAGTTTGTTTTTAATTTATTGCTAGTAAGATATAAATATATATTAAATTTAATGAATTAATAACATAAAAGTAGATAGGCAAAAAATTATATGGTGAAACCGGCGGTTTAAAATCGGACTAAACTGTTAGGTTTAGGTTTGAGTTTTTTTTTCAAACCGTTCAAAATGGTTTGGTTTAAGTTTTGATTTTTTTTTCAAATCGGTTTAAACGGTTTGACTTAAAAATCTGTCAAAAATCGATAAAATCGAACCGCTTACACTCCTACATGTTGTATTAAACATCTAAAGGAGGAAACTATGAAATGAAAATATAAACAATTTCTAGTAGCTCACCTTTGATATTGATCAATAGCTTTCCCTTGTTGATAATGCAATGAAGATGAGGAAGAAGAATATAGGGTTTGCGTGTTTTTTTAAACTTTTTACCCATTTTTTTAACAAAAATTCATATTATACAATATAATATTTATATCTTAAATGTTTAAAATATATAAAATAAATCATCACATCACAATATTAATTGCATTCAAACTAAGCATTTATTGCTCCTAAAAAGGTGTCATAAAGGGTAAAGTGGACATTTTCATAAAAAAAGTAACATTTTTGGAGGAAATTGGTGCAAATAAATTTTTTTTTTTTTTTTTATGCATTTTCAATTTTAGTGACATTTATGTAAATTCCCTAATAAATTTGAACATAATTGAGAAGAACTAACGTTAATAAAAAATGTTTATTTTAATAAAAAACGTTCAAGGTCCTAAGGCTAAATCTTAAGCTTTAAAATATTCACAATGAGTGTGATTTGGATCATTGACCTCCAACATAAATTCTACATATTTTATCACTCGATCAACTATCTCAATATAATTATTTTCTTTCTTTTTATTTATATATTACCAACATCACATTGATTCATGTTTGGCTATTGAAGTCACTATTAACCCTTTAATTCCCTCTAAGAACCTCATGATTTAGATTTACCAACTTTGATTGCAACTAGTTCAACAAGCATTGAATTGAGCGTAAAGGTTCGTTTTTGAAGCTTGGATTGATTTATTAGTAAATTTAAAATTGAGGTTAAGTTTTGTGTGATTTCGTGATGAGCCTAAGATGAATGATCATTTATCCAATTTATTATGAGCTGAAATCTAGTTTTTGGGTGCCTTTTTATATATTTTTTACTATTTATTATCTTATTGAACCGATCTTGAGTTAATCTTGATAAATTGATTAACTTTAAACATTGTAGAAGTCAAAGCAATAGCTGAAGATCAATGGGGAAACCATGCCATGCAAAAGAACACTTCCCTTGAAAAGTAATGCTCCAACGAAATGAAAAGCAGTTTTGTAATAAGGAATAAATAATGCCGATTTACCAAAATTTGTCGATAATGCTAAAATTGGAATAAGAATTCTAACCATTTTAGTAATTTTAGGATAAAGTCTATGCCAAAGTCAAATATGGTAACATGGGCATTGGGAGACTTCAAATGAATTAAGCTGCTTCTGTCAAAGCAGCTGCTTGAAAGGGAAAACAGAGGAGCGGATGGATCGATTTCATTGGCCGGCAAAAACTGTTTTTCTTAATGACAAATCAATACTTGACACCTCTGCTTCTGTTATGCCATCTGTCAATGTAGCAGAACTTGACTTCGGATACTCCTCCCTCGTCAACTTGGAAAGCAACTGCACCTAGACTAGCTTGGTAATTCTGCCATCACGTAAATTTCTAATGTTATTTCTCTTTTTCAACTTCTCGTGTCCTCTTACGTAAGCAAAATGAAAGTTGAGGGGGGAGGGGGTGAATTTCAATTATGGTCACTGAACTTTTAGAGAAATTCCAGTTAGACTCATAAACAGTAATTTGCCTTAATCGGTTCCCTATACTTCAATTTAGATACGTATTGGGTCATTGGACTAAATTTTTTTTGGTAAATGTCAAACTCTATCTTCCAGACTTATAGAATACTTGAGGTCATATTGCATTTGATTTTCGTGTGGCATGTCAATTTACTATTATGTTACGTCCTAAAGGTGATAAAGTGGATTAAAACAAAAGATTTAATTATTAACTTTCGCTTATATTAAAATATGGAGATTTTAATCTCTATCAAACAGGGATTAAATAATTACCATAATTTTAATATTGTGATTTTCATTTTTAGGGTAATCGAAATGATTACTTGAATGATCGATTATAATATGGATGCCGGCGTAAATTTCGTTAGTTTGGGAATATAGAAGATGAAATGTGATATAATGGTGTAATGTGAAACTAAATCAAAGTTTAGTGACCTAATTGAAATAAATTAATATTTAGTGGAATAGTTGTGATTCTAGAAAGAAAAATAAGACGAGATTAACCCAGCTACAAACAATAATTATGTCTAGTGTAGACCAACCCTGATTATTTGAACTGTTCCTCCCATTCGATTCAGTATCCATTAACATAGACGGGGATTCCTGAATAATGGCTGCCGAAAGCAATGTGAAAATGCCCAGAATCAAGCTCGGCTCACAGGGATTGGAAGTGTCTGTGCAAGGACTCGGATGCATGGGCATGACGCCACATTTCGGCCAGCCGAAGCCCGGGCCCGACATGATCAAACTCATTCACTATGCACTAAATTCCGGCATCACGTTCCTTGATACCTCCGACATCTATGGGCCGAAAACCAATGAAATCCTCCTCGGGAAGGTAGGTACTCTTACCCTATTTCCTTAACCCCAACACACAGACACAGACATAGATGCACTTGTATTTCTGCAACTTTAATTAGTAATTACACATGGAATTTCTCAATTCTGTTTATTTCTAAATATATAAGAAAAAGTGTAAAATATTAGTTGCAGAAATAGAATATATTGTGTTGTTTTTTATTCTTAAATGTTGTACAAGATTTGGGAACTGGGAAGACTGAGCTTGTATGGTGATTGATTCAGATTCCTTATACATTTTATTTCCTATTTCTATTATTTATTTATTTATTGGTATATTGTTTAACTAAGTCATGGAATTTAAACCCTTAATTTGGTTTAAGGTTTTTTTTCCCATAAATATTTGGTTTTTTTATTTTTATGTAGTTTATAAATTGGTAGTTTCTTCCAATTTTTAATCTTTTTCTGGTATTCGTGGAACTCAACAGAACTAGATTAAGGTGTTATCTTCGTTGTGAGGCCTTCGTCATATGGCCATATACGTTTTAACTTCCTTTCGTTATTCTTGGGACTGTCTCATTGATTGGGGAAATGCTATCAAAGTAACTCCTTTTTTGCTGGAGAAGGACAAATTTTTCAGGCAAATTTACAGCTTCATTATTACTCTTATGGACACTAGTCTCTAACCTTACTCTGGCTAGTCTATTTAGTGTCACTTCTTGGAGGGGTTGTCCATGTTTAACGTATCAATGCTTTTGTAGTGTTTATATACTGTTTGGCATCAAATTGTGGCTTTGCATAGGCCGTCTTGAACCTTAACCTGGCTAGTCTGTTTAGTGTCTTTCGCTTCTTGGATGGGTTGCCCATCTTTAACGTATCAATGTTTTTGTAATGTTCATCTACTGTTTGGTATCAAATCGTGGCTTTGCATAGGCTTTGAAGGATGGAATGAGGGAGAAAGTGGAGTTAGCTACGAAATTCGGGTTTAGACTTGCTGATGGGAAGAATGACATATGCGGCGACCCAGCCTATGTACGGGCTGCCTGCGAGGCTAGCTTGAAGCGGCTTGATGTTGATTGCATTGATCTTTATTACCAACATCGCATTGATACACGTGTGCCTATTGAAGTCACGGTTTACCCTGTGTTCTCTTTTGATTGTCTTTATATCTCTCATAATTTTGTTTTACTTAGTGTGAGCATATGTAGCTCTTGTTATCTATATGTTACGGGCTTTTCCACATTTGTACCAATGAGCTGAGCCGAAAGGTGGGTTGTTGGAACTTGGTTTGATATCTTAATAAATTTGAAATTGAGCCTACACTGAACAAGCATATATCTTGCTGATTATAAATTGAACTTTAGTTGTTTGTTGCCTTTGTATATGTTTACTATTTATTGTTTTATTGAACCAAGCTTGGGTTAATCTTGACAAATTGGTGAATTATAAGTCTGTCTTCTTGACTACAGTATTGTTCTCAATCAGCTTTGATCAACCCACTCAAGTAGGTTGTGCTTTCTCTAAGTTCTAACTTTAATTTAACCTTAGAGACAAAGCGAAGTGATAGTTTAATGGTTTCATCAATTATGTTAACCATGTTATGTAATTGGAGTTGAATAGACATACTTTTGAACAAGTTAGCACCATACCACGTGATCAATGTAAATTCGAGTATTCACTACAACCTGAGTATAGTCAATGTAGAAGGGAAGCATTACACCGCTATTTCAGAATAATGACAGAGTGAGGACAAAACTATACTACTGCTCTTTCCTCCATTATTTCTGCTGTTTCGTTAAGTGAAATCTACAAGATTTTCGAATCTAGTTAGCAGCTTAATAAATATTAATGTAATGGAAAAATGCTGGGGGGGGCACGAACCCCGGAACTTTTGAAGTCTGATGAAAGAATACAGCTTTTCTTGCATCCAGCCATGATGGAGATATTTAGAAGTCGATCGCTACCCCGAATCTTTTTAGTCTTAACAGTAGTGTTTGGGTCTGTGGCTTTGTCTATTTGTTGTTCAATGATATGCAAAACTGAGATTCAATACTGGACTTAGTGAATGAAGTAGGGTGAAACTGTTGAGAATCTTCTGACACGTGAGGTGCACATCTAACTGGATGAGATTGGAGGTACTTATCAATTTTAATAGCTAACTATAACCCGACCTTCCTCTAATGATGTATAAAAAAGAGTTTTGGTTTAATCTCACAATTCAAACCTTTGATAAATCTAGAAAATGTGACATGGAATCTTCAGGAATGGCACTATAGTAGAGTAGTTCCTACAGCCAACATAACCTGCCTATTGTTGTTCAACCTGCCTATTGTTGTACATATTTGATTATATATATATGGATGTCTCCCTTTTATTCTTAGATTTGATTCCGCATGTTTCTTTCTTAAGCCTCTCCTAATTACTTTGGATCCCTCTTTTTGCAAGATGGGAGAACTAAAGAAACTTGTGGAAGAAGGTAAAGTAAAATATATTGGTCTATCAGAGGCCTCACCTTCTACAATCAGAAGGGCGCATGCTGTTCATCCAATTTCAGCAGTGCAGTTGGAGTGGTCTTTGTGGACAAGAGATGCTGAGGTAGAAATAATTCCCACTTGCAGGTTTGATGATTATTGTAATGGTTTTATATTTCAAGCCAGTAAGAAATATAGAGTTCTAAATCTAAACATCCTTGGTACAATTGTTTAGAGAACTTGGCATTGGAATAGTAGCATACAGTCCTCTTGGACGGGGATTCTTCTCCTCCGGTCCAAAAGTCGTTGAAACTTTCTCTGAAGTGGACTTTCGAAAGGTTGGTTTGTTTTATTCTTCTATCACCTATGAGCTTCCTATTCAACCATGAATTATTTTGTGTAGCCATTGTGCACACCACCATTTTTTGGATTTATGATACACATAATATCTAAGTATCTCTGGAATTATGAATATAAGTTATGCCCTCACTTGAAATGCAAGCTTTTGAACATATAATTATTCAAGATCATGTTTGCGTAAGCTCCAAAAAGATAAACAACTACTTTTAAGTAACTTTTTGTTTTCAAATATGTTTGCATACGCATATAACTTACTTTTGTCTAAATTTTAAATAAAAACGTTATATATTTTTAAAATTAACTTTTATTTTGGTGTCAAAATAAATTACTTATTTTCAACTTTTACCATAATACACACACACACATATTTATTAAGTAAACTTTTAAAGTTTAACCAAACATGCTGGTAGCAATACATTCACATTACAGTTACCAAAACAATGTAAGTAATTCTTTTCTCTCTCTTGATTTATATTTCAAGATAAAAGTCCACCACTTCAGTATAATATGACGATATCATCCTTAGAAGAGAACTGGAAAACTTAAGCTTCTGAAAATAGGTGGTGTTCCACAATTATATTACCTTAATTTTGTATTTCTATAAGACCTGTTGAGTTGAGCATCCAAGTGAACTGTTTGATGAATTTCAGTCAGCATTAATCCCTCTTTTCAATGATAATGCTGTACCAAATGGAGTCCTAGTCTTAAATTTTGTCGTTACATAGTTCTAATGCCTGCTACAAGTTTTTCCCCTTGAAGCGTGCACGTTATTAGTTGATGTTCCTGCTTTTAAAATGTGTAGTTTTACAATCTTAATTATCAATATTGAAACTGATGTATATGCTAAAACTCTTTTTACATTTTGCAGCGTCTACCAAGATTCCAACCCGAGAATCTGGAGCTTAATAAGAGCTTATTCGAGAGGGTCAAGGATATTGCAAATAGAAAGGGATGTACCCCTTCACAGCTTGCTTTGGCCTGGGTACATCATCAAGGAAATGATGTTTGTCCGATACCTGGTACAACGAAATCTACGAACCTTAATGAAAACATGGGAGCATTGTCTGTAAAACTGACGGAAGAAGACATGGCCGAACTTGAATCTATTACTTCGGCCGATGCTGTCAAGGGCGAGAGATATGGACCCAATATCCCTACATGGAAAGATTCAGACACGCCACCTTTGTCAACCTGGAAAGCAGCCGCATAAAGAACGCTTTATCTATCTCATAATAATACCTTATCATGTGTGATCACTTTGTGCCTGCCCGTTTTGCCATTGGAGTGAAGAGGTCGAAATAAAATTGGCATCAAATGTTCTAAGCAAGCAGTTTTCATTGCTAGAAATTTTATCTCCTTGAAAACTGTTGGGATTTAATTTGATAGTTATTTTATATCTATAATTTCGAGTTTAGCTTTAAAGACTTACAACTTCTAAAGTGAAACTAAAAGTTTTTTTAGCTCATGAACAAACCTTTCTAAACATACCAATTGTGCTTTTAAAACCAGCCAGCAAAAATTTACTAAAATTTTATAAATTCAACCAGACAGATTGCGAAAAGGGTCAAAGGTGAACTGGTTTATGAGGTTGGGGTTTCTCCCATTTTTTCGGCATAGTTGTAAGACCATGTGTGCGGGTTGACGTTTGGCCAGCTCTTGATCTTTGCCTTGGCTCGGAAAATACTTGGGCATGCTAGAGCTTTTGGTAGTCACTGTAACTAGTTTGATTTCAAGCACTAACCGGACCGATTTATCGTTGGTCCATGTTTTTTCACTTTTGTCTCTAATGAGTTTTATCAGCCAAACTACGAAAGTTTATAAGTTCCATCACATAGGTATTTTGTAGGATCCAAGACAACCATGAATACTCGAGTCTTGAGAAGTAGACGATTGGTTAGTTAATAGTAGTTAGTTTCATTGTAAATGACTTCGTTACTAATCTTTGGGATAAATTTCATATGAATTTACTTAATGATATTCCTTTTTGTTTGGTACATCTAATCTTGATGTTATAAAAATTCAAATCATGAATGGAATTTGTCGTAATCTCCATAGATTAATTCAAATAGGACTTGGGAATGCCTTACCATATTTGTGGATAGGCCAAAGGGATTCGTATCAATAATTTTCTCTTCAATCGGTTATTGGTTCATAATCATTAGGTAGGAGATATAATCGCATGGTTCAAGGTATTAAACTTAAATATTGCAACTCTACATTTCTCTTTTGTATGGTTCAAGGTATTAAAGATTCCAAGTCTACATTTCTCTTTTGTCGATTAACAAGAAATCTACAATTAGAATGCGGTCTAAAAGCTCAAAGTGAGGTTACCATCAAAACAATGGAAAATTAAGATTGTTAGGTTACCATATTTTAAAGAATATTCCCATTTTTCACTCTTTTTTTGGTCTTAAATTGATCGTCTTAATTTGTCTCATTGCAATTTAATCAATCAATTTTTCATATTTACACCTTCTAACTAATTTTTCTATTTCTGGTCTTGATGTGAAATGTGACCCATAAGATAGAATAACATAGCAAATCTATCCTCTGGAAATTTTATAGAATAAGAATATCTAGCGATAAGAATTTTGACCTAGGAGCTTTTTGATAATTTTAAATCATTGATCGACTAAAGAGAAAATAAGTGTTTAATACAATATTTTTATTCGGGTCAAATAATTAAATATTGTAGGGTTAAAAACTAATCTCGTATTAAATGATGCACTATGGCTCGAGAAAAGTTAATCCAAATAAGTTGGACTCAAGAAATAGGCGGCCATGATTACATGTTTGTATATATGCTTATGTACTAATTAAGCCCCTATTTGATGTCCAATAAAGAGAGTTTTTTTTTTTTTAAATGTTTCTGAGCAAAAAAGCCATTTGCAAGTAGTGTTCGATCAATTACGCATTAATCAATATTCGATTGATTGGAGTTTTGGAATAGTGATTCTTAGAGCATGTCTAGTTAAAAAGTTGAAAATGAGTTTAAAAAAAAGTTTAGTTAAAAAATTGAAAAAAAGTTTAAAAAAAAAAAAAAAAAAAAGAGAAAGAAAAAAAAAAGAGTTTATGGAGAATGATAAACAAACATGTGCAAAGTGATTCGGATAAAAGTTAAATTTATTTTATTTTATTAATATATATGTACCAATCAATATCTATTTTATTGATTTATTTAATTATGTTATAGAAATCATATGTATTTTTACTAGCTAGTGTTAAATACTCACTTTTACAAAATTTACAATTAGTTATCAAATTTGTTATAGAATGGTGATGAGGATTGTCAACATGATTTGAAGACAATGGAATCGTTAAGTTTTCTATTATCTAGTTTATTATTTATAGTTAGTTCTGGTCGATCAAAGTCGTTTCGAAAAGATATAAACTTCATGTTTTGGTCAGCATATAGTTATTATTTATCATTGAAAATGAAGGAATTTTTTTATTTTTATGTTGCCTCATTTACGTGAAGAAAATCAATTTTTTAGTAACACTCCAGGATCTATAAAAATTAGTCTATATTTTGTGTGTTTCTTTGAAGTCTATATATCGAATCTTGAATTCTATCTTAAAATACCAATGTTAAGAGGGAGCAGTTTACATCATCACATATTGATTATTATTTTCATATTTATGCAAAGTAGGACGCCCCGCAAGAATGTTCTTGTCTTAGAATCCAGCATTTGAACATAGAATTGCTCATTGAAGGTTTGGGTTCTTATTCCTATCAATGATTCTTGAAATTGTTTTTTATTGTATAAGGTCAGTCATTATGTCGTGACTATTATATTTAATTGATGTTACCTGTTTACTAAAATGCTACATCGCAAGTGCAGGGGTCGCGCACACGTAATAGTGTGAACTTTTTGAGTCTAAGTGATCCCTTGAAGAGTGTTTAGTCCAATTACACGAGAGTTGATCCAAATAATAGTCATGACACACATAATTAATATCTTTGAATTTAAATAATTAATATCTTTGAATTTAAATAATTAATATCTTTGAATTTAAAGATTAAAAGAATATACTTCTAAGCATTCAAATAAAATACCCAATTACAGTTATGGTCAAAGTTGGATTTTAGTCAGGTTAGGATTCATGATTTCATTTTGCAGTCACTAAATTAATTCTTCATAACAAGTCAATAGAACATTACTCAGTTTTCTTGTCAAACCCGATTTTCCTATTTTAGTTAATTACATTTCTCAAGTGAAACTAACCATAATCAATTGGTTTAACCTGTTATATTTCTATGTTGATTAAGCACAATCAAAAGCATTAAATATCAATGAAAATAACTCAAAAGTTACCTAAGAGTAGGAGTTTATCTCTATTTCCACAAGAACCTAGGATTTCTACCACCTTAATCTAAAATGTGCAACACTTTCTCAATAATCACACAAATCACTAGACATTATCACATAGTGACCACAATAATGATAATACACTCAATGTAATGGTAAAAATACAAGAACATAAGCATTAAAATAGTGAATAAAGAAATTTATATAGTTAAGACAAGCTTCCTCATTCATCCCGACACCAAAATGTTTTGCTCATTGTATTTATAGGGCACAAAATGAAAGGATTAAAGAAATACATCACAAAAATTGAGAAAAATATAATGTGAAATACATGACAAAGAAATAAACATGTCCCTTGGTCGGATCCTTGAATCTTGCTTGGTTTTGGTCTAAATTTTTCCAAGATTTTATCTTCTTTGTGTGATTTTTCCTCTCCTTTTTGTTCGCCCCCTTTTCTTTCTAAGCTAGGGTTTTAAAATGGATGAAGAAGAATGTTGAGAATGGGTGAAAAGAGTGTTTAAAAGGAGTAAAAATCATCCCAAACAAATTGCAAGAAGAGCCCCTAAAAAGATTTAAAATGCACGCACAGGTCTTGAATTTCAACCTAAGGCGCGGGCCTTAGCCTTTTGGTTGCTCTCAGTTGCCCAAAAGTGGAGTTGAGGCACGTGCCTTACCTACAGGCTTAGGCGTGCGCCTTGCCTTCTTTTCCCTTCTCTTCAGTTGGTCATCAAAGAATTGCACGTTTGGTCCTCCAACTTTGGTTTCATCTAATTTAGTCCTTAAATTTTGAACTTATTTTCAATCAAATCCTTCATAATTTGCAACTTGAGTCCTTGAACTTTTTGACCTGTACATCTTAGTCCCCAAAGTCATATTTTTGGTCCTTTTTTTTTCCCCTTCCTTTAGCCTTCTTCTCTCTCAATTTGGACTTTTAATCTACAAACACCATAATTACACAATTATGAATAGGAATTCACTCAATTACATCATTAATTAGCTTATTAAAGGTGCCCAATAAGTGTATAAAAACCATAGTTATCAGACCCGAACCAGATCGGCCGGTTCAGTTCGGAACCCGTCGAACCGGACCCAGATCGGTCCGATTGTGAGGAATTTATGGATGAAAAATCAGCCTGCCAACAACCCGCTAGAACCGGCGATTTTACATAGATTCGGGGTACCGACTTTGGATTGACCCGACCGGTTCTTAAGTAACTGTGTTTCACTTTCCTTTCCTCACAGATTCCTTCCAGTTTCCTTCCCCACGTCGTCTCCTCACAATTTCTAACTTCTAAGACATTAGGGATTCTTGCAAAATTAAAAACCTCAGCCGCGGTCTCAATCTCTTGCAATTCATCAACTCCCAAGAATCCAAATCTCCAATTTCAAGTTTTAAAAGATGGAAGAGCAGGTTAGTCTCGGTCAGATGAATCCTTTTTTAAGTAATATGAATTATAAAACAAAAAAAATGTGGAATTTTGTCCTGGGTATGATGGCATATGAATTATAGAACAAAAAAAATGTGGAATTTTGTCCTGGGTATGATGGCATATGAATTATAGAACAAAAAAAATGTGGAATTTGGTATTCAACAATGTATCGGAGCCACCCCAGTAGTTTTTTACTGTTTTTAATTAAATTTATCGATTTAGAGGGGCATTTATAATATTATGTGAAAAAAGTTGTTGGCTTCATCTAGCCATTGCTGTAGCATTTGATTCAGGTGATGTATTTATTCATTTCTAGCTGGTGTATATCCTCACTTGGATAGACATTTGATTCAGATGGCAGGCTTGTGTATATCCACAATTGCTTCTTGATGTCATGGTTAAAAAATACCTAATGTATGCTTTACTCGAATAAAGAGCAGACTCTATTTAGTGTTTAGTTTTTCTTCATCTTTGGATTATTACCCAGTTAACGTCCGAGTATTTTTGCGTTACTGGTTGCTAAAAAATGGATTATGATGGTGGTTTTAATTTATTTTTTAGATGAACTAACTTCATTTGATTAATATTTTGCTTAAGTTGGTCCATGTGCTATGCTTTTGAATAGTTGCTTTGTGGATCTCTGAGCTCTTATCTACTGTGATTTATACCAATCT